CCATTGTATTGCTGAAATTTCCAGGATGTTCGACTCAGCCTCCAGATGTTTGTTTAGATCTAACATAAGCTTTTCGCGTTCCTTGTGTTCTTGCCGACCATTAATTGTCTCGATGGCTTCTTTGGCGCAAGCGTCATGGAACTGCTTCGCTGAGTTGATACTTTTTGTGAGGTGGTTCAACAGGGCAGTTTTTTCCCTAATGTACGCTTTGCATTCCTCAATTTGTGGAGGGAATGAAAATCCTTGGTTGAACTTTGTGATTTCTGGCTCATTAGACCTGAGCAGAGCACAAGCGTTCGTGATCTTTGTTTTGAACACTTGAATTTCGGCCATTTCTATAGCTAATGCGTTTGATTTGATGTGTCAAACTTGTAGAGGCTTAGAGCGTCACAACGACTTTTTAAAGTTTTCGTTGGTTCCGCAGTAGATGTGATCCTGCCACGCGGGTCTTTTTATTCTTTTTTGGCTTCCTCAGGGAGGAGTTGTGTTGAAATCTGATTTGATTTGTTTTCCAAGTGGTGTGGAAAACAATTGAGATAAATCGTCTGTTTCTCACTGAGAGAAAGGGTACAGACAATTTACCCGATTTTCTTGATCCTCAGGGAGGACTTGTTTTGAAAATCTGACTTGTTTTGTTTTCCAATTGGTATGGAAAACAATGAAAACAAACCGTCTGTTTCTCAGTGAGAGAACAAGCGCAGACGATTTGACCGATTTTTGCGATCCTCAGGGAGGACTTGTGGAAAAAATCGGAACTGTATTGCTTTTCAACTGGTGAAAAACAACAAAGGTAAATTGTCTATTTCTCACTGGGGAGAACAGGCGTAGACAATTTATCTAATTTTCTAAATCCTCAGGGAGGAATTAGAAAGAAAATCGGTGTTGTATTGGTTTCCAACTGGTGGAAAGCAATAAAAGAAGATCGTCTGTTTCTCAGTGAGAGAACAAGCGCAGACGATTTCGTAGGTTGTGGGTTTCTACCAGGGTCAAGCGAGGCGTTGAGGAAAATTTGGAAATACGACCCCCCCCCACCCTCCGCCGGAGGCCGAAGTCCATGAAACAACCCTCTTCAAAAGCCGAACTATGAAAAGGTTGTTTAATTCTCCCCCCAAAACTGCTCATAAAAAAGCCCTGCTACCCCACCGTCCACAAAAAAATTCGTTTAAGAAGTACAAAAGTGAAAAAGTCAAAGAATAATCATTATTGATGAGTCCTACCAAACGAGCAAACGAGAAACAGACCAGAAAACGACAAACTAGCCACTAAAAATGGCATACCATGACAACATCTGTTCTTTATTTATTTCCTCCACAAGACTTACCAAATTCTAGTACTACACAGATTGTGGTTCTCAATTTGCACGTAGCCCTTCAGTTGAAAGAAGCTTTTTAACAGCCTTCGCCAACTGA